ACCCTGAGGTGTGTTATTTGTTCAGGATTTATGTTCTTCAGTACACAAAGTGATCATGAGGATGCAGTAAATGTTGGGCTCATGACTGAAAGACTATTATATCTATTACTATTGACACATGAAAAGCATAGTTGTCGAAGTTTAGTATTTATATCAACAATAATTCGGCCTCACTTAAATTCAGAATGTCCGCCATCACATCAACATAAGATGCCATGAGTATTTGGAATTTAATAGCGCCAACAGACATATGTGTAAGATCCAAACCTAGTTTCCAACTAGGTTTGATTTGTTGAATAACTGACGAGTAAAATTAGAGACGCGCACCAAACCCCCCAATAGAAATCAGAACAAGGTATTTTGAGGGTAATAACGGTTCTAAATTTCATCAAATATACAAATGTACAAATTTACCTAAAAAAATATTACTACCCAGATATTCAACCGACAGTTAGTACCAAAATATTCAATCTAAATTACAAAGAATAGCAAAGTGGTAAGAAATATATAAAAATTACCGAAAACACCAAAAGGTGAGTGTTATTCTATCCTTTCTGGATAGATCAAGTAAGATTCCGTTTGAGCGGCTGTTTTATAACACAAAGTGTTTCAATACCTGGGAAAGTGCTCCGAATTACAACCAAAAATACACGATACCAGTCAAAATCAAACCACACAATCAAAGAGTGAGCAGTCAATATGGCAGCAGCCAGAATAATAACAATTAAAACAAACTAAATACAGTTCAGTAAGGAACATAGAGACTCAATAAAAGCGATAAGAAAACCAAGAAATTTAAACGTTACAGACTTAATTAGCATCAAAAAAGTTAGCAATATATACAAATAAGGAAACCACAAGGAAGAAATCACAAACGTATGAATGGAGGGATTTTCACTTTCAAAATGGTTCTAACAACATGGTCGAAACAAGTGTTGAGAATTGTAAAAGAATCAAATGGACATCTGTTGCGTAAAGTTACATTAGATTTCTGGTAGTTTATACAGGAGCATGCCTTACGTATTTATTCATACCAGGTAACAGGCTAAACTTTTACGAGCATACTGCATCACAAGTGTTCAAAACAAGAATGCCCATTTGATTGTAATGTTAAATTTCAGTAACATCGAATTAAGTTTATTACGACATAAAAAATTTATCATACCCAACTATGAATGTAGTATTCTAGCTTGCAGTAATTGCACGTACAATGACTTAATAAAAACTGAAAGCATTCGAAGAAGATTCAATGAAGATGTCTTGGAGCATTCTGAAAACATGTATTACGACTAAAGATGCTAACAGCTCACGTTGGAACATCTTTGGATCAGGCTCATCAAATCAAGCCTAATTTCTATCTGCCGGTTTACAAATGCTATTCCATGCCCTTGGACATCCATCCCTTCGTACTCTGTCGCATCATCCAACAACCTTCACAATAAAGAGAATATCTTGTCAGTTCCCAGAACTCACACAAACGTACCTCAGACTTTCTTCATTATTCGCTATTCAACCATGTGGAACAGATTTCATCACAGTGAAACTATAAGCTGATTCAGAAGTCGTTTTCGTGAATTTCTTTACGAAAGCTTTTTGTGTCAACTACTATGTTGTGAACAGAACACTGGTTGGGGACAATCGAATGTATTTAAGCAAAAATTACAGACTATCTCAGTAAATTCTGATAACCAAACAATGAACAGTCAATTTGCAAATTAACAACCAATTGTTTCAATCTTCTCTGTTTCTTCTCTAATTTCATTGCTCATGCATTTTTCCAAACGATTGCGCTTCATTTCAGCTCTTTGCTCATCGGTCTTCTGCCAAAATACATTCTATGTCTGACCCACACCATATACTACTTATATGGATATAAGTAGACCACACCACACTCGTCCCCCCTTTAAAGCATTCGTTCATGCGGTGGTTCTGCTCGCCACGCCACTATCTTCTTTCACTGCAGTCTGTGCCAAACTCTCCGTCAGAATGTCGAGTCTGCGGCGCGCTGACCTCCATAGCTCCGTCGACCTGCCGGGGCACCAACATCCGCATCCACCCGGCACACGGGACGTTCAACACCCGTACTCCACCGGCCTGCTGAGCCATCTACATCCGATGTCCGCCCAGCAGCCGCACGTCCCACTGCTCCTCTCCGTCGACAGCACCCGCTACAGCCAACGCCGCCCCGCCAGAACACTCCACTCGACGCCAACTCTCCGCACCGGACTGCCCCAACTAACACTTCAACTCCAGACCCGCAGCGGCGTCCGCAGAACAGCAGCTTTCCTCCTCCTGGTTGGCAGCGACACCAAATGTTGTGAACAGAACACTGGTTGGGGACAATCGAATGTATTTAAGCAGAAATTACAGACTATCTCAGTAAATTCTGATAACCAAACAATGAACAGTCAATTTGCAAATTAACAACCAATTGTTTCAATCTTCTCTGTTTCTTCTCTAATTTCATTGCTCATGCATTTTTCCAAACGATTGCGCTTCATTTCAGCTCTTTGCTCATCGGTCTTCTGCCAAAATACATTCTATGTCTGACCCACACCATATACTACTTATATGGATATAAGTAGACCACACCACAACTAAATATCAGTGTGATCACCAATGATTTATACAAACGAGATTCCATATTATGAATAACTGATTGCAAACAGGGTAGAATATCCGAAATTGTGTCCAACTGTTCGTCCATTTTATGTTGTTTTCTTTCTTTTCATCTAAATATTAGAAGTCCGCTTATGCTCATAATTATTATAATTATTGGCACTATTATCATGATTGATCCTCTGATAAATTAGACGTTCTTTCCCTCCTCCCATTTTCTTCCTTCTTTCCTTTACAGCACCAATTTTATTCCCAAAAATCCAAAGTTTGCTGATAAAAACACGTTGTGTGGTGCTCTGCTCAACTCAACAGATTTTTAGGATTCAATCTATATTGATATATATACGACACCAACGAATTGATATTTGATTATCCTCTGCTATTATTTAAGTTTCATCGCAACAAATTAAACTACTACTGCACAAACACTTGTACTACCGACAAAACGTACTGCAGTAATAAAATGTACCCTTACTGATTTATTTGTGGTCATTTTCGTCCTTTCTTTTTGTTGTTCATTTGGCGATAAATACATAATCGTTCACTTTTATTCTGTGTTCACGAACACACTTATTAAACTATTTACGTATTTCATGTTTCCTTCATTTCAATTCCCTTATTTTCTCATTTTCCTTCTTTTATGTCAATCCAATATTCTTCCTAATTACACAGGGCCCGTTTTTTAATGTGGCGAATATTATGTCAACACTATAGAAACGTGTGTATAACTGGATTTCTGAAGAAGCACAAAACGGTTTCTTCAAAACACTTATGTACCGATAGGATGTTTGTGAATAATAATATCAGGACTAAAATATCGTTCAGCCGCGTGTTTTATTGTTGCCTAAACATCTGAATGAGAAGGTCTAAGCGACGAATTGAAGACGCGGCGTCGACAGTGTCTCGACACGATTGGACAATCTCTAAATGTAAATGTGTCGTACAACAAGGTCACCTTACCAGTTCACATATACTTATAACGCATTTATAGGCTAAGGTTGCCGTTAACGCGTTTCGGCTCCGAAGTTTCCCGAAATGTTTTTCGTGCCGGTTGGTTCCGAGCTCCAAAATTTGCAGGGTTTTCTACAACTTCGATAAGATTTTCCGCACTGATTATGATACCAGCATCAATCGGGGTTATGTGTCTCTCGTGATCTAGAGACCGATCGTTTTCGTGAACTCCTTAGAGGGGTTTGTGATCGTCTACGTTCATGACGAATACTGAGGTAACTTGTCGAAGTATGACAGAGTTCCGTAACGTCACTTCGTGTCGTTTGAGGTCTCCCTTTGACTGAATAGATCTTGACGTTAGACGCTCTGGTGATCTCTGGAATACGGTTGGCAGATACAACCAATTCGTATACAGCGTCGTTTTGAAGCAAAACAAACATTGCATCCATCTGTTGAGGAAGCTTAGACAAGAAACGTTGTCTAAACAGTCCAACGTTGAAAGTCTTTTGACCGATTACCTCCCTCATTCTTAACAATATGTCCGTTGCTGAGCCATGTTGCAGATCGATGTTATTAAGAAGTTTATTTTTCCTCTGTCGAGCGGTTAGATCTCCGCGTTAAAGAGTGGACCATTTACGAATTTTATAAGGTTCCGAAACGTCACTAGGAAACATACTAGGTATGACGTACCTGTTGAATTCGCACCGTAGTTCCTTCACTACTGCTAGGAATTGTGCACGTGGGTCGGTCACGCCGTGCTCGTAGAAATCAGGCTCACCACTGAAGATGCCACAGGTATTTGGAGTTTGACATCTTAACTCGTAGCACCTTTTATGATCGAAGCGTGCCCGCCTAGTGCAATCAGAAGTCAGAAGCGAAGAAGTTCGAAAATATATTTGATAAGTTATCGGTATATCGAGAAGTGATTGACCCAAACTGACTAGCTGTTGTAGGGTAAATGGAGCACAGCGCTCCCACTCGTGATCTGGTGTGCCTTCATCTAATGGAGTTCATTAAAACTAATGTGTTCAGCATCAAATGACGAAGACTTACAGAGCTATTGATTTAGAGGATTAATTTGCCGCTAAACTTTAATATCACTAAATATTCGTTTTATATAATGCACTGATGCGATGGAATCATTTTCGTTTTCTTTGAGTAATGAAGGCTATCAAACAATGCGGCTAAATTCAAATCAAATTATTTGATCGGTTCTGAGTGAACTTATGTACTGTCGTCTTACGTCATTTTGACCTTCAAATGTCATTAAATTTCCGATTTTTCCCCTAAATATCCGACTTTTCCCCTAAATATCCGACGAATTTCCGATTTCCACCCTAAATATCCGACGATATACAGAAAGATATCTTCCTGTATTGAGGTGGCTACTTATTTAATTAAAGCTAACTTATCTCCATTTGTCATAAATCATGACCTGCGAGCTATATCGTTCTATTTATGCACCAAATGTGTTCTGTCTCCCCATTTTGAGTAAGTCTTGAGGTTTTCCCTAGGTATATAGATTTATATGAATTTATACGAATATTTTTTCTAAAATTTGAGGGTTTTGTGCCATTTCCCCAACTTTTTCTATTGAGTTCTCACCGTTCTAAATGACCCTTTACATTCGTCTTTTGTTGCACCATTCGGATCATACAGCATATTCCATTATAATGGAATTGCATAAATAGAACGATATAGCTCGCAGGTCATGATTTATGACAAATGGAGATAAGTTAGCTTTAATTAAATAAGTAGCCACCTCAATACAGGAAGATATCTTTCTGTATATCGTCGGATATTTAGGGTGGAAATCGGAAATTCGTGAGAAATTCAATGCTGTTGTTATAGTTGGAGTTATCACAATACTCATTTTGACCTCCGCAACATAATAATTCCTCATAATTAATACGTGTCTCTGTTCAATTAATCAGTTATAAACGAAGTAATACCTGAGATCTGTGTATCGGTCCAAGACCCCACCCCATATACACAAATAAAATTACCACGTTAAAAACTAAAGCAGTAGAAGTATTAGTATCAGTGTTAGTAACAAGGAATTAGAGATGTAGAATACGATTTAAGAAAAAAGGATGAGTTCTCAGAATTAAAGGTACAAAATAATTTTGAAACTCAAAATTTGAGGGAAGATAGTGAGTAACTTCACTTTGACCATTACAACTGTTTCTTAGCCATCTCGTACATCTTTGATCATTGGTCATAAGAATCGCACATATCTCCCAGATAGTCTACAACATGTTAGAAAATCAGGTGTCTGGTCAGGGTTGTAACAGGCGGTCATCACGATGCTTGCCTTTTAGCTTGGCTTGTGCTGCATATTTGTGCGTTAAAGTCACTTTCTACGATTATTTTATTTAAGCGTGTGGCTTTCCAAAATAGGTCAGAAGTCCTTCTTGAAGATTCATCTTGCAAATCAATCAATGGAGCCCAGACAGTAAAGAGGTAACTTTACTTACGCTTGTTACTCCTGATGGAGCATAGGCCGCCGACCAGCATTCTCCTACCCACTATGTCCTGGGCCTTCCTTTCTAGTTCTATCCAGTTTTTGTTCATTCTTTTCATATCTGTCTCCATTTTTCGGCGTAATGTGTTCTTTAGTCTTCCTCTTCTCCTTCGGCCTTGAGGATTCCAAATGAGGGCTTGCCTTGTGACGCAGTTGGGTGCTCTGCTCAATGCGCGTCCTATCCATTTCTATCGCTTCTTCCTGATTTCTCCCTCCACTGGAATCTGGTTTGTTCTCTCCCACAGTAGGTTTTGGCTGATAGTGTCTGGCCAACGGATCCGAAGTATTTTGCGTAGACAACTGTTAATAAACACTTGTATCTTCTGTATGATGGCTTCCGTAGTTCTCCAAGTTTCGGCCACATACAGTAGAACTGTCTTGATATTGGTATTCGAACTTATGATCTTGGTGTTGGTTGACAGTTGTTTCGAGTTCCAGATGTTCTTCAGTTGTAAGTATGCTGCTTTTGCTTTGCCGATCCACTCCTTCACGTCTGCATCAGATCCACCTTGTTCATCGATGATACTGTCCAGATATGTATAGGTTTCCATATCCTCCAAAGCTTCTCCGTCAAGTGTAATTTGATTGGTGCATGTTTTGTATCGGAGTCTTGCAGTCAAATCCATCATAGGAGTTCCGTATGATATTGACTATATTCTCAGGCACGCCGTAGTGTCGAAGAAGCCTCCATAGTGTTGTCCTGTCCACGCTATCAAATGCTTTCTGTTAGTCAATGAAGTTGATGTAGCGTGAATTCCGTCCAACTGATTGTTCCACAATGATACGTAGAGTTGCGATTTGGTCTGTACACGATTGATCCTTATGAAATCCAGCCTGTTGATCTCGAAGTTGGACGTCTACGGAGTCCTTCATTCTGTTTAGAAACACCCTGTTGATGACGTTTCCTGGTATTGAGAGAAGTGTGATTCCTCTGTAGTTATCACACTTGTTAGATCGCCTTTCTTTGATATCTTGATCAGATGTCTTTCTTTCCAATCTGTTGGTACTTGTTTTTCATACCAAATCTTACTGAAGAGAATGTGGAGTATTTCGGCAGTTGCTGCTACATTTGCTTTCAGTGCCTCTGCCGGGATGTTGTCTGGTCCCGCTGCTTTGCCGCTTTTGATTTGTCCGATGGCCATACTGACCTCTTCAATTGCTGGTGGGCCAATATCGATTGGGAGGTGTGTGGGTGCTTCTTCGATGTTGGGTGGGTTCAGTGGAGTTGGTCGATTCAAGATTTCTTTGAAGTGTTGTACCCACCTGTTCCGTTGTTCTTCAATGTTGTTGATTACCTTGCCTTCCTTGATTTTCACTGGTCGTTCTGGTTTACGGTAATTTCCAGCAAGTTTCTTTGCTGTATCATACAATTGTCTCATGTTTCCTTCTCTTGCAGCTTTTTCTGCTGTCATTGCTAAACCTTCCATATATTTACGTTTGTCGGTTCTGATGCTCCTCTTCACTTGCTTGTTTGCTTTTGTGTATTCGACTTGTACCTTGACTTTTTCTGCTCTTGTTCGGCTGGTATTGATTGCTGCCTTCTTGTTCCTTCTTTCTTCAATCTTATCCAGTGTACCAACAGTGATCCATTCCTTGTGGTGGTGCTTCTTGTGACCTCCTCACATGTTGAAATGATTGCCTCTTTTATCCCTTCCCAGTTGCTCTCCATAGTAGTTCCCTCTCCATTGAGTAGATCATGAAAGACTTGGAACATATTGCTGAGGGCTATCTTGAATTCGTTGAGTCCATGTGGTTTTTTGAATGCGGTTGTGTGAGAATATAGTGCCGCCTATGACCAGTTTATTGAAGGCACATAGATTTGCAAATATCTCACCGTTTTCGTTCCTTTCTCGCAGTCCATGACGTCTTCGAACCCAGTGTTGGTCATTCCAATTTTAGCATTTAAATCTCCCATCAGAATGGTCAGGTCCTTTGTTGGGCATTTCTTGACGATTGACTGCAGCCTATCGTAGAATTGATCTTTAATATATTCATTGTGGTCGTTGGTAGGCGCATATCATTGGATGGCGTTCATTGTAATGCCCTCTTTCTTTGTTTTGAAGGAGGCTTTGATGATCCTGGGTCCATGAGATTCCCATCCTATAAGTGCATTTTGTGCTCGTTTGAACAGCATCAATGCAACTCCTTGTGTATGTGATGCATTTTCTTCTTCATTACCGGAGTAGATTAGTAGCTCTACTGAAGCTGGTATTTGTTGTCCAACCTGCGTCCAATGTGTTTCACTTATTCCAAACACCTCCAGGTTGTATTTCCTCATTTCTGCGACAACTTGGAAGGTTCTTCCAGTCTCCCACGTTGTCCGGACGTTACATGTACCTATAAAAAATGTCGCTCTGGTTGTTCGAAGGTGCATCGGCCTCATGACTTCCGAAGGAACTCGGCTTTCATCATGAGACGTCATAATTATTCTTTCTACTCCCAGGGCAGAGTTTAATTGGTTTGAATAATTTTTTCTGGTTAGCGTTTATTTAGCGAGTTAGTTTTCTACGGGATGGGGTCGCTAAACCTATCTCTGACCCCTCTCTTTTATCCGGACTTGGGATCGGCACTAACCATAATCCTTTCTTATTCAATACGTGCAAAATCTGTAAGAGTTCCGATGTCGTCCTTGGTTGGGTTTTGTGTCCTGTATTAGTCGTCCGGTCTATGTAGTTGCTTAGGTCCTGTTACTAGAATAATAGGGTTTAATAGGACTCCCAACCAATTGAAAACTACCACTTTTAAGTACTGCATTTGTGGTCAATAGTGACGAATTAAAAATATACTATATACACAAAGCTGATAAATTTAAAAACGTTCACTAGTCTTCTGAACATTTTGTAGGTAGCATATATAATTCTTAAATTCAAAGGAAATTTGCCACATATAGTTACTTGAATCGACAGATATTCCGACATTTTGAAATGATCAACATTTATCTTCAGTTTCATACATTCCTAAAATAGAATATCTGTTTAAATGATAGTTCTTATTTGACCAGAGGAGTAAAGCCCATAACAATGTGGAAATTTGTACGACTGGTGAGTTTTAAGCATTTATCTGATTAAATGTTTTTTAGAAATGAGTGGTTGTACGTGTTATGTACTTGCAAAGTCTAGGAGTTCTCATTAGTTGATCTTTACATGTAATCTCTATGATTCGTTGATGAACAAATATTAGTTTATTTAGCTCGTTTAGCTCGTTTATTTAGATCGTTTACTAAAAAATAATATTTTAATTATTTGTGTCGTTTTTTGAATAGTTATTTGAATTTAATTCTTAAAATGTCTTTATATTTTATACTAGTTGCGTATAAAGTTATAGAAGATCAAATGGATTTTTTCAACCGAACACCTGTCAAAAATGATATCCTGAGTATTATTGGACACGTAAGTCTATTTCTCTCATCATTGCGCTATATACATAGCTCAGTTCAAGGAAAAAATATTCACGTCCTTTGTTCACTGGCAACCATCTAATCACAAGTTCTCGTGAAATACGCCCTTCTACACTTCAGTTTGACGAATTCATTGTTGAGGAATCACATAATCTTCATTTTGAGCAAAAAAAATCTAATATTGAAAAAAAATCGTCGTTCACTGTAGAAAATATCAGCCCATCTTCTGGCAAAAAGTCACCAGTGCAAGCACTTTTAAAGACTGACTTACATTGTGATTCAAGTATCCTGGGAAACTCCTACTGTAAAAGTAATAACTTCAACGACTATGGATCTTTAAGCTTCCTCGAACCAAAAACAACTCAGTCAGTTTCTAGTGATGGCCTCGTTTCACAGCCGTCCGCATTAACTCCATCACTGCTCAAATATAACGTTGATACAAGTACCAAAAAGAATGTTAGCCCTAGTGATAGCGACGATAATTTCTTTACAGGCTTTCTTGAATCCCCCAGAGCTGACGTAGACAAGTCAATTTCTAGTAGTGGCTCAAATAAAAAATCACTTGGTCAGACAGCTAATCGCACTTCTAACAATATTATCAAATCGCATGTTGGCAGTAGTGATGATGATGAGGCCTTTGAAAACTTTTTAAAATCTCAACAAACCGAGATAAACAAACTTGCGGTTAATCAAGACAGTGAATGGTCATCTTGGGACTCGGATAATGATGATAGGTCGAGTTGTGATTCCCCATATCAGACGTTTTACTACAGAGTCAACAACAAGTTGCAGTTGTCTGGTATCACAAAGTTACCGTAAGTTGTTTGGTTGTCAGAAAGTCTCATATTTATTATCATATGATATTTTGTCTTTGTTAGACCTCTTGTTTTCTTAATCTCCAGGTGGTTACTAAGACTTTACTTCATAATAATTGTTGCTGTAGTTATGTTCTATAATATTGGGTGCATTTTCTAGGGAATGATATGTATCAAGCTGTTGTTTGAAACAAACCTTGAGATAGCAGTATTATTTGCTCGGGTTATTAGTATGAATGATGGGCAGTGATATATAACAAGATGCCCTCTTTATTTGCAAGGTTAAGCGGAAGCTTAGTGCTACATGTATGCACTCCATCTCATTATTTTTCAAGTGAAGCGATGACTTGTTTTTTAAACTCCTTGGCTTTTAACCAGAAGGTCTCAGTTTTGAACTTGAGTACACGTACTGTGGTTATGGCAAGCAGGCAGTATTATCATCTGCCTCACCTGCTGTACTGTTCGAATACCTACGTAAACCTGCACTTGGGGTCTAAGTTACTTTAGGTTGCACTTATCAAACTCCACACTCCTAATGTTCAAGAAATCCTCCGATTAACCAACATCTCCGTCATCCATGTTCTTCGGCTATTTCTCTTGAACATCACAAACAACAGAGGACTAATGAATTCAGATATCTTCAACCCTAATTTTATGTTGATCAGTTTGGAATGATGCTGCGGTGCCTTCAAACATAATACCTGTGAGTACATAGTCTTCAGAAATATCGCTAACAAACAATTCTTATTAGTTATCAGGACATTAAACCGTTATTGTTGTCTTGGCATTCTGTTTCATTAGATGCCCTGGTGCGGCCGGAGTTGGAGAGTCTGCTTTCCCTCTCGAAAAGCTCTCACATGGCCAGCGAATATATAGCCTCTGCCAGGGAAGTCCTACTCACTGCCTTCTCGTGGCGGGGGTGTTGTTCACGAAAGTGAGAGGACGAAAAGCGAATGTCCGGCGCTTTAACCGGGTTGGTGGACAAGGCGAGTCCACCTAGGGGAGTTGGAAAACCCTGATTCCAAATCAATGGTGCACATGGGCTCCAGGATCCTGATGGAACGAATGGCGTATGAACCTATTGTTGGTCACCGGCTACCATGGGACTGCATCTCCTCACGATGCTCCACTGCCTTGTGGATCAGACCTTTAGGTCAAAGGCTCGGGGTGTGGTCCCCTAAGAAAACCACCTGCTTCAGTCTGGGCACCTGGGCAGTATCACCGCCTTCACACAAATCAAATGCGATTTGTGAGTGTTATATGTGGTCGGTTGTGAACGCTATATTCGCTTCCCTAAGCTAGTTCCGTACCCCCGAGCTAGAACTATACACCGACTTGAAGACCAGAGAAAAAGCACAGTGTGTGGGAATAACTTTACTACAGGGTTCATTTATGTACAGAAAATACAGGGGTTTTATAGTAATTAAGAGATCTTGAGTTTCCATAGTAGCAGTGTGTTAAATAGCCAATCAGGATCTCGTTATTTTAGTAGCATAGCTTTTAATTAGTCGCTGATTGGTTGGGGCTCTTTATGAACCTCTGGAGGCTCTGATAGAGTTTACTGTAAGCCGACTTAACAGTGAGGCGCATATTTATCTGGTGCTTTTTGTACCAATATTTATGTGTTTAAATAAAATAAAAATAAAATAAAAGATCATTAGATAAACACTGTAGAAATCATTACAAATATATATTCGTTCACCTCTATTCACGCGAGAAGAATTTGACTAGCTGAGAAGCGTAATATCCTAATGACATTAATGAAAACTGAGCACTACGACCATAGCTGGAAAATGATGAATGAAACTGACGAATAAAAGTGGTAAATAATATTAAGACTTCCCGTTGCTACCGCGAAACGGTGGAGAAAGCGACCAATGCAGCAACAGCCTCAACAGCAGTAGGTCTCAACATTCACAAAGAGAAAAGCAGTACTCTTCGATACAACACAACATTATTATTATTGTTATTATTAGCTTTACTCAACATTATATTTTTCGTATAATATACAATTCTCAGCACAATGTACTTCAACAAGTTTCCGTTTCTTAGTTCTTCGTCCTTCCTGACAATTAATATTGAGTGATCGCCAATTAGAAGTTAGCAGCCCAGTCAATGGACATCTGAATCATGTACATTCTTCTCGCTGCATATTGTCAGCAACCGCGATATTTCTAATTAGGCCTTCTGTAACCTTTACAGCGTAAGGTTTTACACTTTTCAGAAACGCATCTGTATAGGTTGTGCCATTAATAGCCCTATTGATGTAATAAAACAAATGCAATAAGATAACTTGTTGAAATATCTAGATGACAGGAACAGGTAGTCCAGATGTTTAAACAGGCCGCCAATTAAATCCATCCTTTCTATGGTTTAATTTCATCATAGACCTACTGCGGGAAATTACGTTCTATTCGGCTGAATTTTCAGGAATTCATTTCCTACTAGGAGGTGGTGCTTTTATTGACTTAGAATACGCAGATGACTTAGTTCTGTCTGGTGAAGACGCTGATAAAATGCAGAGTATTTTGGCAGCACTAAGAAACAATACCAGGACGTCCGGGATGCTTTTGTCCTTCTCTAGATGCGAATTGTTGTTCCAGGACGCCTGCGTCAATACCTGAACTAAGGATAGGTAGTGGGGTAGTCGAATATATCAATAACGTCACTTATCTTAGAAGTCTGATCAACCCTAATGGGTTGATTTCTGACGATGGTATTCGAAGTGAACGGTACTGGGTTCGAGTCCAGGATTAAACATCAACTCTGAGATGCAGGTACATCCAGCTGACGAGTCCCGAATGGGACGAAACGCGCGTCCTGGATTCCACTGCTAACCACTATCCATCTTTGCTTATAAAGCTTGTGACTTAAGGCAATCTCGAGGCAATCCGCGCAGGATGCACATATGTCAAGAAGAGACTGATCAGTTTCAGTCCTAAACAACACCAAGTGAATTTCAGTCAGTCAGTCAGCGACAACGTAGGACCAGGCACATTTATGCATCGGTCCAAGTTGCCATACCTCGTTAGCACAACAAGATGAACACCAAGTTCATAGAAGTATTTACTTCAATGGTAGTAATATATAAAAGAAAGGTTATATATAAGGATATAGTACAGGAAGAAATAAAGATATGAAGCAATCTTAATCTCATAGTTTGAAGGAAGACAGAGTGCATACATCTACGCCATTGTGATCGATTCTGAGCCATGTCACCCAGAGTCTCCAACCATTGGTTACGATAGTCACGCGGACCCCAACCAGGTAGTCTGCATCTACCAACATGGATCAGGCTAGAAGTTAGTGACTTCAAGCACTGATGCCATGTTTTGGTTTGGCCGCCCCTAACTCTCTTCCAACCATCCCTTACATTAGTCAACATTGCGCGTCGTGGTAATCGGTGTTCAGGCATACGTAACACATGGCCCAACCATCTCAGTCGATGAAGATTCATGACCTAATCAACTGATTTACCATCATTCCCAATTACCCTGCCTCTAACCTCACTATTACTTACCCGGTTTTCCCAAGTGAATTTAGCTAGTGTCTTATATTTCCAGTTATTTTGTCAATGATTCAAGACTGATTCACATTCAATCTTGGTAACCAGGTTTGCCCTTTCAAGAACAAGCATGATAAATACATATATTCAGATTCACGTGTACGTGGCTCATTGTGTTTACTGACATTCAGTTAATTTGCGGATACTCGATTCGGGTGTTAAGGTCGTTCTAATGCATCATATTTGGGTACTTAGTAACGTTTTCGAGAATATATTTATGTATACGCAACTGTTATTCATTTGCTTTTCAGACCAAGGTCATCAGAATCAAAATCCTGTGATTCAGGGAAAAAATATATTGCTCTGAATAAGAAAACTCAGTCATGTACTGTACAAGTTTCAAAGTATCCGAAGATTTCCAAATATCAGAAAATTTCACATAAGATGGAAAAGTGTAATTCGCAATATGTATCTACGGAGGAATTCGTTTATTCTCTTTATCCAGTTAATAATAATGATGACAGTAAGCGTATGTCACACGAGAAACTTCGTCATCCTGATGCGTTAAAGTGAGCTATCTTGATACTTATTACTGTCATCTTACCTTTGACTACTATGTTTACTCTGTCTGACAGTAAAATCTCGAGTTTTTTGTAGGAAGCTAGATTATATTACTTGTAATCCTTTTTTATATTAGATTATTTTAAATCTTTGTGGCAAACAGAAATACAAAAATCATAGAAGTTCTTTTAACATTTGCTAACCTATTACGTCCATTGTATAATGAAATTCGCTCATTGTGATTGACAACTATATATCTTTTTTAATACATTTAGAATATTGTAGGTCGTCTTTGGTCTGGTCGGTTGAACGACCTTGTAAATATTTGTGAGGTTAAGGACACAATGAACGCTTTCAGATTCCATCTATTTACCTAGTTCATGATTTTATGTCTTTCCAAATGGCAAATAAATTTAACTGAAATCTCTAGAATTTACAAATAACCTATTTATTGTAACCGATGACTTTTGTGTGTATCCAGGTACATTAGGTTAGCTTTAGAAGTACCTGCTTTTTGGAATATCACCATATAAAACTAATGTTGAAGTCGTTCTAGCGGAGCTAAACTCTAACAGTTGCTTTTGTTGACCCAATAGCTTGCATAGCTTATAATGATACATCTACAAAGGTTCGTTGATTCTCTTACGGCATATAACTATACACTGATTTTCTAGATCAACAAAAGTTTTGTGTAACTAGATATAGTTTCTATTGTATTCCATCAACAGTTTTTAGTGAAATAAATGCAAATATTTTATCTTAAGAAATGTTTTGTGATGTACTGAAAACATTGGTTAGTTAACTTATGTCTTTATATCTTTCAGTTTCATTAACGATTTGAGAGATTGCTGTGACATTATCCTTAACTGACCGTTTCATTTTATAGAATGAATGAACAGTTCTGTCGAAATCACTGGGGTATCAGTCTAATGAAATAGCATAAAATCTCTTAACCCGTAGTCTATCGGTACCCAAGAGAAACAGTAGTTTTTATATGTACAAGCTCAGTAGTTCATAAACAATTGTTAACGATTAAGTTCCACGCTTTGATACTTCCATGGACAATTTTTCGGACCTGCCATCATTAGTCCCATCCAGTAAAAATGCGTTTGGATCAGTTACACTCGTGAAATTATATAACTTATTAGGGATGAATAAAGATAATTGGTTTTTCAAGGGGAGTAACCGTATAAGGTAATATAAAATTCACATGTTTACTTGATTTCCTTTGAGTTTCAAATTTGATCACTGTCACTTTTTAGTGTACTTAAAATGCTATTTGACGATTGAATTTAAATGTATGGATGGATGTGATATATCTTGTGGGTTGAACGCTTTATTCAGATCCTAAGCTATTTCGATAACCCCGGGGCTAGCACTACTCAGCAACTTAAAGACCAGAGAAAAGGCACAAAGTATGGGAGAAACACTTTACTGCAAGGTTCATTTTTGTACAGAAAATCGTAGGTATTTATAGATGTTTGCTTAAGTTAAATCAACTTCCTAATTCAGCCAATCCAATTAACGACATATATTGCTACCGACCAATGGTAGCATGCCACGTTGGAACTCCAGAATGTTCTGTCGTACTCTGATTGGTTGGGGCTCTTTTTGAGGCTCTGCTGGAGTTCTCTGGAAGCTGACTCAACAGGATGGCTATCGCTCAATATGCTAGGTTGTTGGGTTGATTTTTAAAATTGTTTAACCTGATTGTTTGAACAGCCATGCAGTGCTATGGAGAATATAAATAAGTTAAAAATAGAACTTAAAATAAGTAATTGACTGTTGGGTCATAAATTCAAAGCTACTCCAGTCGTTTCTTTTCAAACAATCAGATAATATGATCATTATCTCATTGAGCTATGATAAATGACGCTCCATATGAATAATTGTCACTTATTTCATGCATAAAAAATGTGATATCTAATTAGTCTCTTGAATTAGCATGTGATTACGCAGTTCTAATTTTCTTGTATTATTTTTGCAGGTTTAGAGATACGTAGATTTTTAACATTAACCCCTTATTTATTTATTTCTATCAATGTTACAGATTTGTCCAAAAGTTTAAGCCAAACAGATCTGAATTAGCTGAAAAATTGTACCAAATTTACAATGAAAAGATATTTTCTAACCAAGTAAGATCTGCCAATGGCTGTAAATATAATGGGTGGAAAACCGAATATCTGACATTTTTACTATTTGTGTTGATATAATTTGGTTATTGATTTATTAATTTAAAACAAGGGAATTACACGAAGCCTGAAAACGTTAAAAATTCAGTTTTCTGCTTAATTGGATATCACAAATATATCTTTATTTTCGTTATTAACAATTCACTCAATCCCCAGTTTATTTGTATTGAACAAGCCAAACCTTTGTATATCGATCAATTTTTTAATGAATGTGCTATTAAGGATAAATCTCTGTTTCTTTAGATTTCTTGGAATTAGTTTTTTACCTGGAGATCCTATAATTAACATTAAGTCCAGAAAAAGCGTAACATTTTCAAGTGTAATTGATAATCATTTGCAAAGTCTGATAAACATTTTGTGCAAAACTTTCTGAACGCTTCGTACGCGTTTCATATCTGATCTATCCAAGTTGACTCGTGGGTCGGGATGTATATTTAATTCAGTAATTCGTACTGAAATGGTCGGGTGCGTAGATCACCACCCTACTGGTTGTATCTATTTTGGTCCACTAGTTCTCGAGAATATTCCAAGATGATCAAAGTGCGTTCTGTTTGATTTTACTGACCTTTTGTACTAGAAGGATGTCTTATTAGAATGTAAGTATCTTGCTACTTTGCAGTTGTAAAACATCAACGGTGGGGAATACATACTTCTTACCTATTATGTGACCAACTTGTAATTAGAGCCTTTATTCTTAAGAAAGCAAACAAAACCAGTCGATGATATGTGACAGCTTTGACTAAATTGGTTGGGTTATGTGCTACGGATGCTAATCCGTTGTATACCCCCAACAATCACGGTAAATGGATTAAGAGCTAATTGACATGATTAAAGTATAATATACTACAATTTAGCATCATTCCATACAACCTGAATTGTGTAGAAAGCTGCTAATCTCTTGAGTATTGTCATTTTGACGATGGACATTGGTGGTTGAAACCGATCGGTGAAGATCCAAAATTAGTCACCATGATCCAAGTTTTTCACTACTGTTTATTTATTTCCTCTGTTCTATCCTACTTATCTACAATATCATTTTTACTCACTACTTGTATTCATTCACAGTTACCACCAAAGTTAGAGATTATATGGAGTCGTCGACTATTGAAAACTGCTGGTCTTTGCAAGTACATGATGCGTACAATCACTCATTCGGACGGAACATCTAATCAGGTACAACATTGAAACTCTAGCTTTATTTATATCTCACTTTACAAACAAGATTCTACGCTGATATGCGCTTTTTTATTTCGATCAGGTGAGGGTTTCCACTATCAAGTAGTTCGCAAAGTAAAGAATGTAGTTGATCTAAGAAGCATAGGAGGGAAAATAATATAAAAAGTAATCTAAAGCTAAAGATGAAAAATATAGATGAAGGGAAAACAGATGCAATCAAAGATTGTATCAGTGTCCATTTTTTGTCAACTACCAACCCTCCAAGTGTGGTAAAACTTCCAGAATAATTGAGGTAGTAAATGCGCTTGACTACTGTACTGCTTATGATCAAACTAGGGGTCGATGCAAAGCAGTTTTTTAGCAAATATTTACGTTTAGAATAAAAGATACTCATTGCGAACATGTTTACGTTATTTAAAGTGGTCATGAGACTTGAAATCATTTACTCTTCCTAACTTCAAGTTGGTTAATTGTTCTTAGACTTCTCTAAGTCAATACTCCGGTGTAAATCATCCATACAAATTTCTTGGTGAGTATTTCAAGACTAGCTGAAGATTAGTGGGACTGTTTCTAAATGTAACCCACTCATTTCTTCAGTCACCTTGTCTAATAAAAGAACAATGTTCCACCTTTCTCATTGACAATTTATCAGACCGTTGACTTCTTAACTTCAGTGTGTCCGATGAGTCTAAACAGTTATTTAGTGTTTTTTGTTTCTGCAGATTTTTTTCAACATGTTTACGTTGCTCATCTCTCCGTATCTCTAGGATATTTACATGTTAAAGTTTCCCTGTGATTTTCAATGGCATACAATTCTGAGAATCTGGCGAGTAGATACTCTTATATGGTCTGACTCATTGTACTAAGATCGAGAGCTCCAACACTTTATTTACAACGCTTTTTAAGTAGTTCGTATCGTCTTTCTGACCATAGATACCAAGCCAATTATATAGAATTCTTTTTTGGACTCATTTTTGGCGTTAACTTCATTTTTAAAAATAATAATAGTTCTAACACTGGAAATTCAGAGGGTACCTTAATATCCGCAGATAAATAATGACTATGATTCACATGACATTTAGAGCACAATACATTCTTTTCACCTTATGCTGCTACTACATAAAATTAATCGTTTGAATTTTCACGTTGATCAGGTTAAGCTTTTTTTGTAAGAGGTTTTTCTTAAAATTGTTGTCTGTTATAAAATGGAATCATAGCTTTGTGGTCCAGTGACTTTGCTTTCAACTACTAGGTTAGAACTCCATTTCATCTGCTTTGCTCTGAGTGCCAGGTTAGTTTCACAAACTCTCGATAAATGTATATCGAAACCGAGCAAACAAAGTTGTATTAGGTAAATAAGTTGTTGTGACCATGACAACTGATAGTGAGTTTGGCTTTACAGTAATGATTGAACTTTCATTTGATCACAGTTCATTGATGCAGTTTTTCTTCAAATGACAGTCGATGTGTTTCTGAGGCTTTATCATTTAATTGATTTAGCTACTATTTGTCTACTTTCAGTGTTCTGCTGAGTGATTAGTCGATTCAACTTAAGTTTATTTAATCTAAGTAAAGTTTTTTGAAGAGAATTCTTTACCTGTGCATGAATGAGTCTTGATTACTAATTTATCATCTTTCTCCCTAACCTTCACGAAAGCACGTATACGGTAACAAATGAAAATGCCATATAGTCTAATACAAGTCGCAGTTTATTTGCATTTCAGCATTCTCAGAAGTTCGAAAAAATATCCAGTCATTCTATTTCTAAATTTATTAATGTTTACATTTTGAATAATATAACTTTCTGTTGGGGATGTCAAATCCCCAGAACTTACTTGGTAAATGGCTTAATCTTGTAATTTTATTTTGAAAATTTGAATTTAGCTGTTTTCGCGCCAAAAGCGCTCTTTTTACCTTCACGTCATTTTCCCACTTGTAAACTATCTTAAACGCTATTGGTCCGTTGTTTCTTTGTGTGTGCTATTTACTAATAATGCTCAAGGACAATTTGTTGCTGTATAAATGCGCTTGACTTTTCCCCTTATTGGATTGCTTGTACTCGGCTGCTTACGGAATACATATATATTCCCCTACTTGCCTTGGACTTCTTCATCTAGTTAGCGGGGCCTGGGACAACCGATTAGAATAGCTTATCGTGTCATTGTGTCATTGGCTTTCGTTCGTTACCGCGGAATCGATTTAGTTTCAGGCATAACACTTTCTGTGTATAATTGTATTTCGTTAATATAATATTCCTCCGAAACATTAAATTTATTCGACTGACTTTCAATGGTCATTTGAACTATTGCAGTTAACTTATACTAATCCGTAATATTGTAATGTTTATCAATCCCACTTTTGATATGATTATAATCAACAGATAGGTCAAAGGTAGATCAAAGTTCTGAAATCTGATTTGTTGTACAAATTATTTAAACATTTGTCACCAATCGATGAATGTTCAATCATAACCAACTTCATTATTGTCACATTTTTTCCAACTTGCGACAACTTATAGGTCCGTATAGCTCAGATTTTGTTGTCGGAAAAAGTATGCACTACAGCTGAGCGTGTTCGCGACACCCTGCTGCATGAAATTTGTCACGCTGCTGTCTGGTTGATTAATGGTTTAAATGATGGTCATGGACGACATTGGAAATCTTGGGCTAACCATGTTCATCGAGTTTGGCCGAAACTGCCTGTGGTTTCTGTTTGTCACGCATATACAATCGATACACGATTCACATATCGGTGCACAGGGTGTGGTGTATGTATCAATCGTCATAGCAAATCTTTGGATATTACTAGAAAGGTAAGAATAAAAGTGTTTCCTTATTTTATTTCCAGTTTCTCACTAAAAGCATTCCTTGTATAAATTACCTAAAGTTGATGCCGCTATTGTAAGTTGATTAAATTTGTGACATAATAACACTTAATTCTCATAAAAAACTTCTGTGATTCAAAGTCCCTTTTTATTTACTTAGGTTGCTCATTTAATCTAACTGACTGCTCTCTTCTTCCTATCTTCTTTTTCTCACTTTCAAAATAAATCTTTTTCCCAACTGTTTAAAAATTCCCATAATACCAAAACATATATATATATTAAAGATTCCCATTGTGTAAACTAGAAAAACACATGTAATATTCTAAAATCACGTGGAAACCCTGTTGCATTTAAGGCACTCAATGAGTTCCTGAAGTTCAATGCATGTCTCACAGAAGCGAGAACGAGCTTAGGATTTGCTATAAACATATATATATATATATATATATATATATATATATATATATATATATATATTCTTTTCGATAAATTCTCGTAAGGTTCTACGATTTAATAAACAGATATGTGACTATGAATGCCAAATCAAAAAAGTACATACTGTGAATAAGAAATCCATATTCATTCCCCAATAATTCAGAAATGATTCGTCCATTGAAATACTAATCCAGAGATTATGTAAAACAATCCAGATAACACTCAATACCGAAAAACCGCAACCGGTGTTTTCCACCTCTCCGATGGTATTACTGAGAGTGGAAGTTGGATCATTCAAACTGAACACCTCATTTTGCATTCATCGATTCGGATGCTCAGATGGAGGTAGATACAGCAATTCGCATTTTCGTGCTCGTAAACACCTTCCAGCGTAGCTAACCAAAGGTGTAGTCAAGACAGTAAACAGCTCAACAATAGCCTACTCACTTTAAACGGGTCATAGTGCCAACATAGATTTATCATTCTCATTAGTTTGTGCATCTGGTAATTTTCTTCCAAAGTTTGTCACATTCGTTCTTCAAAAGGCAAAAGCATTAGCTATCCTGATCAAAAAGTTGAAGCTATGTATACTGAAGAAATACGCCCAACTTCTCTTACTTCGGTCAATCTCAGGCCTAATAAGTCAATAGTCATGTCAATTTGATAGAATGACATATATAACTTTCGGTCTATGTATTTTCATCGTTTAAAACTAATCTTGTTGAAATATTGTCATTATTAATTTTATTCATGTGTCATTGTATTATTTATTATTATCACTAATGCTATTATGGTAAATTTAACGTTATTATTAGTCTTCCAAGTGCTTGAATTTACTTAACGGCCCGCCTCGCTTGATCATTTGTCACTGAATTCATGCAAAATACAGTCTTTCACCAAAATATTTGATCTGATTTGCAATTATATTATTATTATTATATTACTCTAACATTTATTCTGATCATCAATCATAATTCCACTGAACATATAAACTCATCCAAGTCACTTCAATATTAAGAATTTTATTTCATAATATGCTGTAACTCTATACGATGTATTTTCATTAAACGTAGTCAATTTTTTGGGAGAATTAATTTATATGCATAACTGTAAGACGTCGTGAGAATCTATTGAAAAGAATATGCGAAACAAAGAATATCTGTGTGAACAATTGTTTTCGCCATGGGGATCTACTGTTTTAAATCCATAATTATTGTGTTATTTTACAAAGGCCAAAATAAGGCATGGTAGTGAGTTAAACAACTCCGCCTGTAGCTCCTCTGGGGGTTGCTGCCGGTCCCAAGCCCGGGTAAAGTAGGAGGGTTGGGCATGGGGTTAGCGACCCCATCCCGTAGAAAATCAACTCGCTAAAAAACGCTAACCAGAAAAAATCATTCAAACCTTTCAAACTCTGCCCTGGGAGTAGAAGGAATAATTATGACGTCTCATGATGAAAGCCGAGTTCCTTCGGAAGTCATGAGGCCGATGCACCTTCGAACAACCAGAGCGACATTTTTTATAGGTACATGTAACGTCCGGACAACGTGGGAGACTGGAAGAACCTTCCAAGTTGTCGCAGAAATGAGGAAATACAACCTGGAGGTGTTTGGAATAAGTGAAACACATTGGACGCAGGTTGGACAACAACGACTGTCTTCAGGAGAACTTCTGTTATACTCCGGTCATGAAGAAGAAAATGCCCCACATACACAAGGAGTTGCATTGATGCTGTCCAGAAAAGCACAAAGTGCACTTATTGGATGGGAATCTCATGGACCAAAGATCATCAAAGCCTCCTTCAGAACAAAGAGAGAGGGCATTACAATGAACGTCATCCAATGATATGCGCCTACCAACGACCACAATGAATATATTAAAGATCAATTCTACGATAGGCTGCAGTCGATCTTCGAGAAGTGCCCAACCAAGGACCTGACCATTCTGATGGGAGATCTCAATGCTAAGGTTGGAAAGGACAACACTGGATACGAAGACGTCATGGGACAACATGGACTGGGAGAAAGGAACGAAAATGGTGAGAGATTTGCAAACCTATGTGCCTTCAATAAACTGGTCATAGGTGGCACCATATTCTCACACAAAAACATACACAAAGCCACTTGGATTTCACCGGATCACACTACACAGAATCAAATCGACCATATCTGCATCAACAAAAAGTTCAGGAGGACGATGGAGGATGTGAGAACCAGAAGAGGAGCTGATATAGCATCCGATCATCATTTGCTGGTCGCCAAGATGAAACTAAAACTCAAGAAGCAGTGGACAACATCACAAAAGTTTAATACGGCCTTTCTTCGAGATGCTGACAAACTCAACAAATTCAACATAGCCCTCAGCAACAGGTTCCAGGCCTTTCATGATCTACTCAATGGACAGGGAACTACCATGGAGAGCAACTGGAAAAGTATCAAGGAGGCAATCGTTTCAACATGTCAGGAGGTTCTGGGCCAAAAGAAGCACCATCACAAGGAATGGATCACTGTTGGTACACTGGATAAAATTGAAGAAAGAAGGAACAAGAAGGCAGCAATCAATATCAGCCGAACAAGAGCAGAAAAAGCCAAGGCACAAGCCGAATACACAGAGGCAAACAAGCAAGTGAAGAGGAGCATCAGAACCGACAAACGTAAATATGTGGAAGATTTAGCGGTGACAGCGGAAAAGGCTGCAAGAGAGGGAAACATGAGACAACTGTATGATACAACAAAGAAAGTTGCTGGAAATTACCGTAAACCAGAAAGACCAGTGAAAAACAAAGAAGGCAAAGTAATCACCGACATTGAAGAACAACGAAACAGGTGGGTACAACACTTCAAAGAACTCTTGAATCGACCAGCCCCACTGAACCCACCCAACATCGAAGCAGCACCCACAGACCTCCCAATCGATGTTGGCCCACCAACAATTGAAGAGATCAGCATGGCCATTAGACAAGTCAAGAGTGGCAAAGCAGCGGGACCAGACAACATCCCGGCAGAGGCACTGAAAGCAAATGTAGCAGCAACTGCCAAGATACTCCACATCCTCATCAGTAAGATTTGGGACGAAGAACAAGTACCAATAGACTGGAAAAAAGGACTTCTGATCAAAATACCAAAGAAAGGCGATCTTAGCAAGTGCGACAACTACAGGGGCATCACTCTCCTCTCAATACCAGGGAAAGTCTTCAACCGAGTATTGTTAAACAGGATGAAGGATTCCGTGGACGCCCAACTTCGAGATCAACAAGCTGGATTTCGTAAGGATAGATCGTGCACAGATCAAATCGCAACTCTACGTATCATTGTGGAACAATCAATCGAATGGAATTCATCACTCTACATCAACTTCATCGACTACGAGAAGGCATTTGATAGCGTGGACAGGATGACACTATGGAGGCTTCTTCGACACTACGGCGTTCCTGAGAAGATAGTAAATATAATCTGCTTACCATCCAGGGTAAGTACAGGATGAGAATCTTGACAGTCTTGTAGGAGTACTTTGCACTTGGAGGGTGCAAAGCACATGCCGTACCTGCGTACATTGATTGCCAACTGATTAAGTGCGGATTGCATGCCTTGGGCATTATCGCACAGTCGTCGATGGCAAAGTTGGAGAGGAATGGTGAGATCGGGCAACCCTGTCTAACCCCACTGCTCGAATGAAACAAGGGAGAAAGGTGGTTGTATGCCCTCACTCTGCCTGAGGTGTTCGTATACAGGGCCTTTAAGATGTTAATGGAATTCTCAGGCACATCCTTCTTCAATAGACAATCCCAGAGAACAGTCCTGTCCAACGAATCGAAGGCAGCCCTGATATCAAGAAACACTACGATTGTTGGCCTGCGATAAGTATGACGGTATTCTAACATTTGGCGGAGGGTGAAGATGTGATCAATGCATCCTCGACCAGAACGAAAACCAGCCTGCTCCTCGCGAGTCAAACGTTCTCGGGTTTTAAACAACTTACGAAGAATGACAGAAGCCAATAGTTTGGACGCAATCGGATTTGGAGTTCCTTGCGGACTTCCGCCTTGTTTGGTGGATCAGTCGTCACCGGCCATGGGGGGCAGGACAAACTGGTCGATGTTGTCGGGGCAGCAGGTCAGTTGAAGTGCTCCTCAAAAAATTCTGCCCGTCGTCCAAGACGTCGAGGGATGTTAGTGATTGGCATTCCGTCTTCCCCTTAGATTGTTTCACTCACCAGACTTCTTTCTGCCAGTGGCTCGGATGAGTTGGAAGAGCTTCCGGCAGTTACCAGATGCAGCTGCTGCTTCCATCTCATTAGCACGCTCCGACCACCAGGCTTCCCGGTCCTTACGCAAGCTTTGCCCAATTTCATTACGCAACAGCCTTCGTTTGTGGTCAAACTCACGGTCACCCGGAGTAAACCGACGGGCTTCGATCAGTTGTAAGGAGCCAGAAGAAACCCAGTGCTTGTAAGCGGGACGTTTCGCGAAGCCGCAAGCGGCTTTACTCGCCATTTTCATGGCGTCGTGAAGATGTAACCAATGCTCATCTGTACTTTTCGGTGGGATGGTAACTAGC